TGCGCCTGTATCAAGAATACACGTGGCTGGCACTCCAGCCAGTGTAGCCTCAGCTCGAGGGCTTTCTTTAACTAACTTTGTTAGTAATTCGTCCGCAGACAACTTAGGCAACGCTCCCTCCCCAACAAGTGCATTACACGGCAAAGGCCCCTTGTGACTCTCCTCCACCACCCGGCCCACGGAAGTGGAGGCCTTTAGTTTAACGCAGGCTTAGATTGACTGTCAGGTGCTTTTGTGGCACCTGCTTGACCCGATTCCATGTTTTGGGTTCCAATTCTGTCAGAGTTTTGCTGGGAACGACATTGAGACTTGTAATGACCCGGCTTTCTACACTTATAACAAATCACTGACCGACCTGGGAACTGACTATTCCCCTGTGGACCGGCTTGTTCTGCCGCCTGTGTGCGCAGCATGCACTGCATCAAGAACGTAATTTGTTCCTGCTGCTTGCTCATTTGACCTAGCATATCCTGCATGCATTTTAACATGTCAGACTGTTGCTGTTGCAACTTAGGGTCTACACCCGCTGATAATGTATCGACCTTAACCCCTATATCAAACGACCTATCTACACTATCATCATTGACCGGACAATCTACATCTACATGGCGCACATGACTGTGTTTAGCCTTGGTAGCGACTTCAAAATCTTTGAACAATTCCAGTGCGGCATCTCTGAAATGGTTAAAGGTTTGGCCAGAGTTAGACAGCTGCAATCTCTTCAGCTCAAATCGTGCGCTTTGTCCGCGCGCTCCTGCCACAAACTGATTGATAAGAGTTTTGTCCTTCAGTTTTCCTAAGGAATCTCTCTCATCTTGGGGAGCTATGCGCAAAATTCTCTCATACATCCTAATTAAGGCACGGGAGAAATCCATCAGGGACTCATCTTCTAATTGCCCTCTTTCAAAGAAAACCTTCTGAAGGGACTGTAGTGTCTCCCCTCCCCCAAACTGGTTATAAAGCAGTTTAATCAAGAGCGAGTGATTGGATTTAACATCTTCCCTACTTTTTACTTCTACTCGCGCAGGTCCAGCCAAATGATCAACTATCACTTGAGCCTTCCCCTTCTCTGAGATGTTGCACTGCCTACAGTAAATATCAACTTCCTCTAACCACTCCTTCAGAGTCGGGTCTCCTGCCCTCACTGGCTTTCCCTTAAACCGCTCAAGTTTGATCGGTCGTTCCCTGGTGGTACTATTCTGTTTTAACGCGTTCGCTAGTTCCGAGACTAACTGAGTCATTAAACTCGCCTCCGTTGCCATAGTTGTCTGAACTATCCTAGCTACACACACGCGCAAGTCCACAGCGCACACAAAATCAAGTATCAAAGCCAGAAAGGACCCCCCAAAAAAAAAATTAATGGGAAACTACCAAGCCCACACAGACTGCCACGCAACAACTGTCTGAACTACACAATTACTGGCCCCTTAACCGTGTATGCATGCACATAACCTTGAATGAATTTACCCCACATTCAAACAGTACCCGCTAATACACAATTCCCATGAAATTAAACGCACTCACTAAGAAAAACAATGTCAATTGGGCCTAATTAACAATGAACAATACCGCTATTAAACAGTTCATTGTCGACTCCGTCTCCGGTGCATTTCTCCACTTCAACACAACTCCTCCGGGTAGAACCACTGATGCTTGAATAGCCCGTCTGCACCGTCGCTCATCAACACCGTTGGACCATGCATCCGACGCGATCTCCGGCTGCACACCGTGTCGCTCCTGGACTCGCTCCCCGTCACACACCCACAGCGTGCGGTCGCACGCCCGATGACTGTGGCGAAATCTTCAACTTTTGATCGAGTCCCAGTCGTCTGCACTCACCAAACACGGCCAAGAGAACCAGTCCGATGGCTTGATGATGACCCCGCAGCATCTGCAAAACTATAGTCCCGCCGAAGAATAACTACAAACACCCCATCCGTGTTACCAATTTGTAGTGGGCGCGGAGTAGCGCCGTGGGGCTTGAGTCTCGTTGGGGGCGAGTTGACATACACACACACACACAGCGGAGATTAAGTTTCACCGGAGAATCACTGATTATTTATTCATTAATTAATGTTCATTCGTCTTCATTGGTTGCTCAGGGTCGAAGGGAAGGAGGTAGCCAGTCGCTGCACCAGGCTAAGCACGACAAACAGTAGCTTTCATCATGATTTCCAGTGGTATTCGGGGGATTTATCTCTGTATTTTCCCCAACTCGGAGACCATTCCTCTCATCTCTTCCCGTGACTGACACAGATTTCTATTCTTCTCGTTTTCACTAGTATAGTTCCGGAGCACTGCCCCGCGAAGCCTGTTTACCGCTGTCTGGGTTACCTCTCCCTTCTCTTAGAATAAACAGCTTTTGTATCACTCTAAAGAACCTTAGTAATATACAAAGAGTATACTTAACTACCAAATTATGTAAGATACAGTCTTTTATAAGCACCAAACAATCATTAATGAGGCCCTATATTATCTTACACGACACCGAATGCCAGTCTTTGCAGACATATCCCTGCGCTGCATGGATACACGTTCTATTTTTAGAATATTGTGCACACACCTGGGAGGCCAGCTTTTGGCAATTTAACGGTGAGTAGGCGAGCGCCCTCTGTTGGCCAAATTTGTGAATGATCAACAACAAATCACTATCATAAGTCATTTCTCCACACCAACCAAGAACAAAAAGTGTGGTGTTTTCTATTACATATAAAAAAAACCAACTGTGTGGTAGGGTAGGTAAAAATCTGTTTTGGGGGTTTGACATTTCTATAGCCTAAAAATAAAGGGTAGGATGATAGTCGGTAAACTTTTACTTTTTTTCTCTATTTTGCATGCATTAGTTAACATGTGAATCATTCTGCACTACTGACCAACTACCTGATTCTACCTTCTCTTTGAGCGTGGTGACTTCTTCCTTGCTGATCTTCCAAGGAAACTTCTCCGTGGTCTCCAGGCTGCTTCCTCATCCAGCATCCAGGGTTTGGAGAGCTCCTTGATGATTGTGTTGGTCTTGATCTTACCCAACCCACCAATCTAGACGGAAACCAATCAGGAAGGAAAATTTGAATGCATTTGCTCTAAATAAATTGTGTCCAGGTCTTGGAAAAGACCAACGTTAGCGCTTCAAAAAGCCAAAAACCTGGACAAATCTGGTTTAATGGTCTTGTTATACATTTTGCCACTTTGACTTAATTTTTTAAAGACCTGCTTGCATTTTACTCAAACTGTTCATCAAAATTCATTCCGCAAAGTCTTCTTCAAGTACTCAACTGTAAGTACACATTTCGGTACTCAAAATACTCATCGAAATATTCATTAAAATAATTCACCAGAGGTACACAAGCCTTTTAAAAAGTTACTCAACTAATACAAAACCTCAGGATTCATTGAAAACAAATGAATCGACTCATAAAGTAGTACTCAGTAAAAAGTAGTCTACTAAGTCAAAAACACTACTCAACTCATACTCGACTTATCGCAGACTGCTTCACTCATCAAGCAGACTCGACTTAAAAGACCAAAGTTATCAAACAGTACCTCAATCCATTTAAAACTGGTGTTCCAGAGTCCCTAACTTAACTCAACTAAACTCAACTTAAATAGATTCAAGTTTAAGTTTCAAACACAGGCAAAGTTCTTGTATTCATTTTCCATTGATTAGACACTGGAGTCATTCTGAACGACTGCAACACTCAATCTTTGGACGACTTTCATGTGTAGTTGCTCCTCAATATTTCAAACGTCAAACTTAATTCAACTCTTAGGAATAATTTAGTTCGGCACTTCTCTGAATGCTAGTCTGAAACGCATGTAGTTGTCAAAAGGTACACAACTCATCAAAATGCAGAAAACTTGAGCTATCCACGCATACTCAGGTCTGACCCTGATCCCCCTCATAAGCCTACCTGCATGAGTGCCTGTGCCCCGGTTCTTAGCGTAGGGCTTGCTACCATGGCTGGGAATTGATCTTCTGAACATCCACCCATTTCTCCTGAGAGTCTGTCAGAAGCTCCATCCAATGTGTACTCTGCTCACCCTGTATGAAAGGCGGGACAAAATGTTTCCCCTTAAAGCTTAGCATCTATATTTACTAAAGAAATTAATACTCTACTAAAATAATAATTAAAAAAAAATCTTTCTCTCAAATTGTTCACATAAAAAAGACAAATCACCCACTCTTTATCATGACATTTATACGGTAGGTGTTCAGGGAAAATATTTAGTTGGTGAATGGTGGGTTTTCTCCAATTTTGTAAAATTGGCTCTTATCTGCTTTTGCAAATGTACTCTTCAAATGCTCTGCCTACTAATTGACTAGGCCTAATTAGTGTGAATAAAAAGTCTAGAGTTTGACGTGACTAACGTTATCAGGTTTAAATCGAGTTGTTGTCTGCATGCGCTATAGTCCATGCATGTGTAGTCGGACAATAATGGGATATCATCAAACAACAGGCGGCGCCCTTCACAATTAACGGTGTCAAGTGACTGAACAAAAATAAAAACGGATAACGAAACCATTTCCCAATTCCTAAGCAAAAAAGAAAAACGGATAACGAAACCCACTTCCCCAATTCCTAAGCAAAAAGAAAAACGGATAACGAAACCAATTCCCATTTCCTAAGCAAAAAGAAAAACGGATAACGGACTTCGAGTCCAAAATCCATTCTCGACACTGGACAGCAAAACGGGTAACGAATAACGATTCCCATTTCCCTATTCGACAACCAAACGGAAAACGAATAACGATTCCCACTTTCCTATTCGACAGTTAAACGGATAACGAATAACGATTCCCATTTCTCGACTCGAAAGCAAAACAAAAAACGAATAACCGAGAAAGGAATTGACATTTCTCAATGCATGATGGGAAAATTCGGACTTCGAAACTTTTTCGCAACCCTGTCCCCAGGGTTAACTTTATGTCGTAACTTTCTTTCCTGTATTAAGTACCTGTCAGTGCGTACCGCTCAACACTACGTAAACGAGATTGTATTTGACACCGTTAATTGTGAAGAGCGCCACCTGTTGTTTGGTTTTCCCGATAATGTATGTGGCGGTAGGCTAGGCCTGTACACCAAGCATGTTTTGTCAGGTAAGCCTGGACTATTTACTTGTCAAAATTCAACTTCCTTTCGGCGTACTGGAAAGATTCCCATATCTGGACATTACTCATTTCTCCCTTTAGTGATTTATGCCACAATTCCGGTTTAAAATGTCCAAAAATATTGGATTTAGCAGGGAAATTTGTTACCTAAAAACTATAGTCGGAGTCCCTTATCGCGGCATCCCTTTATCGCGGCATCCCTTTATCGCGGCATCCCTTTATCGCGGCATCCCTTTATCGCGGCATCCCTTTATCGCGGCATCCCTTTATCGCGGCATCCCTTTATCGCGGCATCCCTTTATCGCGGCATCCCTTTATCGCGGCATGGAAAATTTCTCCTTTTGTGTTGACTAAACTCCTTTAAGTGGCAATTTTTATCCAGGTCCTCCAGGCCATAAGGACTTACTGCCGAGTCGTATTAAAAAAGGACGATTAAAAAATGTTGTTTTTTTTGGGACTTTTAACGATTTTTAATAAATATTCACATTTTCCAAAACCTGCAAATTTTCCCTCTCCCGTCACCGTGTCTGTTAAAACTAAACGCAGTGGCTATTGTTACGGCAGCCGTAATGCACCTCCCATTTTCTATCGTTACGGTAGACTGCAACTTTTATAAAAACATGACAAGAAAATATAAAATAAGAAGGACAAAAGTGAATTTGAACGTTATAAAATTCGGACTTTATTTCCCTTTTAAAAAAAATCCTCCAAAGCCTCAGGTTAGAAAAGGAAAAAAATTCGAGTGCAAAACTGAGATCCGAACCCGCAACCTCGCGGTGCAAAATCCTACAGTCTGTCGACTGAGCTGTCGCACTGCTCACCTGCACGTGGGGAAACAAATAATTATATACCTGCGTGCGTATCAAAAAAGTATCGTAGAGGGCGCTAAACAACGAATGCCGTAACGATAGCCACTTCGAAAACTAAAAGGTACCGTCTATATTTTAACATAAATCATTAATGGTGCTCTGTCCATGATAGTTCCATTGTCTGGTTCTCCTTCTACAGCTGCAAACACAAAATGAAGTCAAAGGAGGATATTTCCACCGCGAAATCATAAAAACTTTTACGGGATCAAAATAAGGACAGCGCGTAAGAAAAAATAAAACGGCACACCGTGTAAAGTGAATGGCACCCAATCGCCAATCAGTAGACTTGTCACAGTGATTTTTCTTCTCCTTTCGGGGAATGGCAGGGTTTTAAGAAATCATCCTGCAGGGATATAGTCTTTCAAAGTGTAATCAACTTGAACGTTACAGGGAAAATATCAGACTTTATTCAGGGGATGTTTTGGTAAAACATTCACTATGAAAAAAAAAAGTTGAGATTATTATAAAAACCACAATTCCCACATACCGCGATAATGGGGAGTCCACCTCCATTCGCACATTCCGAGCATGTCTATTTTCACAGGCATTTGAAAAGGAAGAGTTATACAACCTAAGAGACAGGACAATTCGGGAAGGTTAGCAAGCAATCTCTATTCCAAACAAGAAACGTGATAAGTATCGCGATAATACGGCGTTCCATCCTACATGCTTACTGGCACTGCCAGCATCCTACTGTCTGAAAAAAACACCAAGGACATTTCACTAAATGTCCAGAACTCCAGGTATGGAATCTTTCCGGAGTATTTTTTAACCCTTACCCACCTCACTCCTCCAAAATCCTCCTGGCGGTTTTGGAGGATTCTAGAGGATTGAGGACGAATGGTGATTGAATCAAATGAGGATTCTGGAGGATTGAGGATGAATGGTGATTGAAGCATAGAAGGATTCTGGAGGATTGAGGATGAATGGTGATTGAATCACACGAGGATTCTGGAGGATTGAGGATGAATGGTGATTGAAGCACATGAGGATTCTGGAGGATTGAGGATGAATGGTGAATGAAGCACAAGAGGATTTTGGAGGATTGAGGATGAATGCATTTTGTGGCAGGACTGTCTGATGATTTTGAAGGATTTGACGTTGGTTATCCTTCATTTAAACACGAGTGAAAAATTTTTGGATGAGGAGGATTTTGGAGGATTGATGATGAATGCATTTTGAGGCAGGACTGTCTAACAATTTTGAAAAATTTAGGTGGAGTTGCAAAATTTTGGAGGATTGAGGATGGTTCTAAGCAAAAAGGGCCTAGGGGGTTATTATGCTTAAATTGCATACATTGTGAGACTTTCTTTTTATAGCTCCATGATTGTATAGTAAGTCTTCCAGAACTGTAAGTGTAAGGGTTTTAAACTAAGTTCAGGAAGTATGGTCATACTCCTAGAAGAACTATATCATGATGCTCCGCGGGGCGGAGCCTCATAGACACAAAACCCCGCAAAATTGTTTGCAGCACAAAACACTAAGTACAAAAACGTCATGAACGTCCATCAAAACACAGTGAGCGAACTGAAAATCATCGATCGAAAAAATGTCAAAGGTCAACGTCATTGGTCAAGGTCTAGGTCATTCCATTGACCAGTAACTATCCTACTACATGTACTTGTAATTTCACACCTTATATCAACAAACTCAGGCCGAGCCGGTTTCAACAGCACCGCTGTATTTGTTGCAGTGAATGTTTATTGATTCATTTTATTTCATTAACAGCTTTGAAAATGGAGTTGAGGCCAGACAGACAGGGGGCATAGGACTGCATATTTGCTCTCAGGTCATTTTATCTAATGCATTTAATGTTAGACACTATTCGTTTTTGAACTTTTCTCCAAAAAGGTGAAATATTTATTGCCATTATTACCCTCTGTTACTCATTACCAATTTTTTTTAGAATTATTCTTGACCATTCTCTTGACCACTTTGATCTTTTGTAAATTTGTCAATTATTTGGGAAATTGTTCTCAAATTTCACAGTAATTATTGTCCACCAAATTCATCAAACAATGACCTTTCCAAAATATAGTAGATGAAAACAATATTTGAACTAAACCTTATGAATTAGAAGATTAACACTCCGACGCAGAAACTAGCCCTTTTGGGGACCCAATTAGGTTAATTACCTTAATAAAAAAAAAACATTTCAAACCAATTCTGGTGATCTTCCATCTAATCCTAGCAAGAGACATCCTCTACGGATATATGCAGTCACCTTTAGTGTGTGACCCCGGGTCAGGCATATCTGAGCCTGACAACCTGGGCTGCCCATATACATATGCACAAAACAAGGTCACTTGCGGGTAGCCAGTGCACGACTTGACCACAGACTATGTATACAACATCTGTTTCCTGTCAATGACCTCCTTATTTATAGTCTACAGACATGTCGAGATTGTGTACATCTATACAGTGTTGTGTAGCCTCAAACCAAGGCGCTAAATATCTGGGTCCCCGGAGGGACCCCTTACTGTAAGCGTGTTAGTAAATAGGCTTTCTGCGTCGGAGGGTTAAGATGTTAAAATAACTTGTTTTCCTTTGTTTCTTGAAGTTGACAGAGTTTGAAGGTTCTACCAAGGATGTCAACTGTGGAGCACATACAGGATGCAGAGCACACTGATGACGTATCACCATGGCAACGCGTATTGCTCAACATCACTTGAATGAGATTGTACCTGACACCGTTAATTGTAAAGAGCGCCACCTGTTGTTTGGTTATCGATCAACATCATGCAGCAGATAATGCAGCGGTAGGCTATATAGGCCTGTACGTCAGGTAAGTCTGGACTATTTATTTCTCAAAATTCAACTTCTTTTCGGCGTTCTGGAAAGATTCCCATATATCTGGACATTACTAATTTTTCCCTACAGTGACCTATATCACCATTAAAAGGGATAATGTGTCCAAAAATGTCGGATTTATAGCAGGGAAAAGTTGCTACCATGGCATGCCTACTGAGAAAACATGTCAAAGGACATTTCCTAGTCTTTGTTGGTCAGTGACGTCTGAGGTATGGGAGTCTTTCCGGAGTATTTTGGAATGCTTTGCATACATTGTTGGGTAAGACCTCTTTTTATAGCTCCATGATTGTATAGTCATATAGTCAGCAGGGCCAGGGCCTATTGTTTTTAGTTCACCGCACCTACCCCTATTAAGAACCCAGTATCAATGCACACATATAGTGGTGTTCCCTAACGTGGCGCACTGCGACGTTTCTGCTGACTTTCCTCATGCACGGTTGCCAAACTTCTTTGTTGATAAACTTCAAATTCATTCAGTTGTTACTGGTACTTTTTCAGTAGTGTTTGCCATTTAAATTCTGTAAACAATTTCACTGTCATACAATTTTGAGCAAAATTTATAAACGGTGGCGTCCAGAAATTGGGCCAAAAATCAGCTTAGTGTTCCCTAACACAGCGCACTTGCGTAAATCTTGGAAAATTCCAGGTTAACACTAAAAAAGTTATTCAAAGTTAGCAAATTCTTAATTAATAAATAAATATATCTCTACTTTACCCAACTAGAAGAATGTCAGAAAAATATTTTCTTATTTTTGGGTGAGTATAATCATGGTGAGTTGAAGGTAAATTGTTTCCCGATGATAATTTGAGTTAGAAATATGATTCGGTTTTGTAACTTCAGGGGTTGCCCTTCAGGAAAATCAAGTTTGGATTGATTTTGGGGTCAAAAGTTCAAAGGTCAACGTCATTGGTCAAGGTCTAGGTCATTCCATTGACCAGTATTAACTGTTCTACTACATGTACTTGTAATTTTGCACCTTATATCAACAAACTCAGGCCGAGGAGTTTCAACAGCACCGCTGTATTTTTTAGGAAAGTTGCAATGAATGTTTATTGATTCATTTTATTTCATTAACAGCTTTGAAAATGGAGTTGAGGCCAGACAGACAGGGGGCATAGGACTGCATATTTGCTCTCAGGTCATTTTATCTAATGCATTTAATGTTAGACACTATTCGTTTTTGAACTTTTCTCCAAAAACCTGACAATATTTATTGCCAATCACCCTCTATTATTCAGGACCAAATTTTTTTTGGAATTATTCTTGACCATTCTCTTTATTTGGTGAACAATTTTGACCATTGTCTGACTAGAGGCGTTTGCATGTTGATATTAGTGCTCAGGCATCAAATTACGTCAGGAATCGACCACTAGTCTCGCCCCAACTTGCTCATAGTTGTTTCTGTGGCATGGTTTAGCTGTATTGGCCCTTTTGGGCAATACAAAAGTAGTGCATGTGGGAAAATTATCAGAAAAACTAAGATGACATTTTTGTATGTTTACGTTTATAGAGTTACTTCAACAACAACGATAGGTTCAACTACAACTATGCGCAGGCCAAAGCCACAGCAGGCAACTACAAGGAAGCAGAGGAGGTAGGTTGGACTCCCGGACCCAATTTTTGTTGTTGCGCCCTCAATAGTTGGCCAGTCATGGCGCAGTGACTCGTCATGGTGCCTGAACTAGTCATGGTGCCTTTCATTTGCAAACATCAAAAACCAAAACTACCAAGTTATTATGAAATACCTGACTGTTAGGGAATAATAGTCTCAAGCATCCTGTGAAATCACGGCACCTGGTGTGCTGTCATTTTCAAGACAAGTGGAATTTTGTATCAATTTCCACCGATGGTCGGCCCTGTTTGAGAGAGAAGCCCGACTTTCTGTCTGTTCTCATCCATATACTGTTGCCGTATACCTAGATGTAGAACAAAAAGATATTGCAATAGCTTATTTTCCCACGTGCTGCATCTCTTTGGAATTCCTTGCCTGGTGCTTATTTCCCTCCAACCTATGATCTGTCCTGATTCAAGAGGAGTGTGGAGTGCTGTGGCCTCGTGGTTAAGGGCGTTGGATTCGTGGTCTGCGGGTAAAGCTGCAGGTTGTGGGTTCGAGTCCAGCCTGGGGTCATGGTGCGTGTGCCCTTGGGCAAGGCACTTTGTTACTCATTGCTTCTCCCCACCCAGGAGTAATAGGCTATCAGCTTTGGTCCAAATATTGGGCCAATGGTACCAGACGATTGAAAAGAGCAATGCTCATAGCGATTTTTTGAAAGGCACATCTAGAGTTGCAGAATGTGTGATAGCTTTGCAGTGTGAGTGGTGGCAGTGTTATCACTTTTGATTTGTGTTTTCAAAATTGCCGTCAATATGCTTGAACCGGATCAATTGTATGTTGTAACAAGCATGTTTTGGCTGCCATTTAAAAAAGAAAAAAGTGATATCACCCATAAAGCTGCCACCGCTGCAATGCTGTCAAATATTTTCCGACTAGAGGGGTGCATACCTTGCCAAAAATCACAATGAGCATTATTGCCCTCATTTGATACTGACCAAACCCCCACACTGATGGCTTATAAGTGGGTGCCTATGAGGGCAGAGATGGTGTGGTTGATTTAGCTGCTTTGCTCCGACTTGTAGCCCTGTATATCTGGAGTGGCTTTTAGCCTTGTTCAGGGCGAATAGGCATTAAAAATCAAGTCTAAAACCCGGATGGGGATCTTTCTGAGCCTCCTAGACCACTGTTTCGGTGGGGAACACTTGGTTTTACCATGATTTAATTGGAGTGGGTTTCGTTTCTCTTGTTTTGCAGATTTTTATGCTCATTCAGAGTGAGAAGATCAAGAATGACTACACGTGTCTCTGGTTGGCAAGATGCTGTGAGTATTACCGTCAATTGTGAATGACGTTTCCTCTTCCAACTTCCAAGTTGCTAATGATGGGAATGAATCCACCTGTTAAGCCTCAACTCATAATGTATTGACCACTCACAATGGTGACTGCACAACCAAATGTCCAACTAAAGTCACGACACGTCGCGTGCATGCATTTCATGTACTGCTGGAAAATCCAGAGTGGCATTAGGGAGATGCACATGTTGCCCATGTGTGAGGTGGACTGAAGGGTCTCTAACAATGACATAACCAGCATGCAATCATCGCCCTGATCGTATATTAAGGATGTGACTTTGCGTTTCATTTTGTAAACGTTAAGCAAATATTTTAAGAACCGTTTTAAACGTTTAGCCATTGACAGTGGCTTTTGCCTACCCATTATGTCTGATCTGCAGACCGGCGTGATTGACATGATAAATCAACAATGGTTTACATAGTAAATAGCGGGCAGTCGTTGATAAAGTAAAAATGTAACTACGTGTTCCCCAAATGTAATCAAGTACTACGGTGCTTCTAAGGTTTTGTAAATTAAGTAGGTTTGAAAACAACGTTAATTATTTGTGTTATGTGTGGTTATCTCCAAGGAAGATCGCCTGAACAGAACTCCCTTTTCTATAATTCTGGTTTGTTACATGTTTTGAGAAATTTGTAATCGGATTTAGAAGTTTTTTCATTTAAACGTTTAAACTTCACATCTTAGTCATACATTTGCCATGTTGGATTTGTTCTATCGCATTTTAAGCAGATTGTACGACAGAAATTTGCTACATTGAACATCCCTCTTGGCTCCCAAATATTGTACACAGTTACACTGAGCATTGCTGGCCGAAAATTGCTGAAACGAGCATCCACTGAACAGAACCATCTTTTGTGGACCCCAATGTGTTTTCTTACAGCAGTATCCTATGTATTTATAACCTTTCTTTGTGTTGTTTTCGTTGTTCAGACATCATGAATTGTAAGGCCAGACTAGCCTGGGAGTTGTACCTTAAGATGGAGACGTCTGGCGAATCGTTCAGCCTGCTGTAGCTCATTGCCAACGACGGCTACAAGGTAAAACATCATCCCCTATTTTTGTCCGTTGTATGTTTGGTCAAGATTTTGGCATTAGCCCCAAATTAGTATCCAGTCACTCAATCTCAACCTGCAACCGATTTCACGAAACAGATTTGTCACTTCGTGAAAACCCAAATCGTAGAGGAGACATAAATCTAAATATAACGCAAGTGTAGAAAAGAATGCAGTATCCAGACGCTACTTCAGCAGTTGTGTACAAAGTCTATGGAGAGTCAAGAAAACTTTCCAAGTTTTTTCTGAAGAAATTGGAAGTGTTTCTCAGTCCCAGATTCATGTTTGTGAAACATTTTTGCGATGACTGATCTTTATTGAGATGACGTGTGAAGACAAAAGTGGCGTCAGGTTGGAACATTTCCACGTGTAGAATAAACGAGAATAAGTGACGAATCTCTGTCAAATCAGGGGAAAAAACTGATTCATTGCACATTTACCACTTTGAACCACCTTGAATAATGAAGGATGCACTTTTGTGTTGCAAACTTTGATAAGCATGTAGAGGGCATCATAAAATATTAGAATAGCCAAAAATCCCAAACTGCTTAAAATATTGATTTGGGACAAATTCATCACTTTAACATCTTATAAAAATTCATCACTTTAATTGTCAACACGGTGGGGATATGACAGAAAACTTCAGGCTTTTTGTTCGAACTGCTGATTTTTTTGCTCGACCTCAAATTGTAATTGTCACGGTCTCTTCTCAATTTTCAAGTTCCAAATTTTCTGTCGGTAGCAGTTCTACTAATAGCCAAAAATCCCAAACTGCTTAAAATACTGATTTTGACAAATTCATCACTTTGTCAACACGGTGGGGATATGATCGAAAACTTCAGGCTTTTTGTTTGAACTTCTGATTTTTTGGCCTCGACCTCAAACTATAATTATCACGGAGACTCTTCTCAATTCTCATGTTTTCAACTTTTCTGTCGGTAGATGGGCCAGTTCTTCTATACAGCCAAGGCTTTCGATGTCCTGGAAAGATTGGACCCCAATCCTGAATACTGGGAAGGCAAGCGAGGGGCGTGCGTGGGCGTATTCCAGCAGATCATAGCTGGTCATGAACCAAGGTGGGTGTCATCTCTGTCAAACAGCAGTGCATACTGACCAATCAGATCTCAACCTTTGGTCAGGTGACCACAGTACATCAATCAAACAGTGCGTACTGACCAATTACATCTCAATTAGTATATCACTCCGGTGCTCTACCAACTGAGCTATCCAGCCCAATGTTGGCGGTTCCCTAATTGTCAATGTCTCTGTCAAAGGGGCGCTAGTCAGAAGCCCTCAACCCGCATATGCCATGCAGCCAGGGATCACGCCCAAAGTCACGATGCAGACCTGGGAAATATCAAACGGGGATCATGCACTCAGAGAGGATACGGCTTTTTATCACTAATTTTCATGAATACTTTTCAACTTCTTAGCCCTCTAGTTCAACTTCATTGATCTTTATGGATTTTTCCTTTGTCCCCATATTCTAAAAACAGCTTTCATTTTCACTATTAGGTTTTGCCCTTCACTGACGTATAAACACTGTATACTCAGTGCGTTACCTCCCGAGTGAAATTTGGAAAAAATCACTCGGTTGGGACTCGAACCCATGACCTCCTGCTTGTTAGTGCAGACGTCTTAACCACTGGACCATCAAGCTTACAGAATTGGTTGCCTAGCCAGCCAACCAACCCCGTAAGCTCCATGGTCGAGTCGTGGGTTCGAATCCCACCCAAGTGATTATTTTCCCAACTTTCACTCGGGAGGTAACACACCGAGTATACAGTGTTTATACATCGGTGAAGGGCAAAACCTAACATTGATTTACATCACCCCGACGCAAAGTCCATCTTGTTAATAGCTTTCATTTTCATGTGCACAAAACCCAGTGAAGTTCAAGCCACTAGATTTTTGTAATTTTTTTCCTCTACAGAGGAACACTGCGAGACATCCTCCAAATCTTGCGCATCACCGGTAACCCACAGGTGAAATACATCATCCGTGTCATGAAGAAGTGGGCCAAGGACAACAGGGTACCAGTTTCCTGAGGTGGTCCCTATCCTAGTCTTGAGATGCTTAAATTTGTACATTCTAAAAAAAACCTGCTTCGCAAAGGGATTTTCCAAAAATAAAATAATGGAACGATACTGTTGATTAAGAGTGATTTAATTATTCTTGACGCATGGGAAATTTGCCTTGAAATATTTCTCTATTTAGCTTTGGCAAGATGGTTATGCAGGAGAAAACAACAGTTCTGGAGAGAGGCTAGTCTCTCATGGCATAAACAAAGTAGGCTTGCCTAGTTAAGCTGGACTCTGTGACTCAGTCAGTGACTCAGTCAACGACTCAGTGACTCGATCAGCGACTCCATGATTCAGTCAGATTCGGTCAGTGACTCAGTGAGCGACTCAGTGACTCGATCAGCGACTCAGTGATTCAGTCAGATTCAGTCAGTGACTCAGTCAGTGACTCAGTCAACAACTCAGTGACTCGATCAGCGACTCCATGATTCAGTCAGATTCAGTCAGTGACTCAGTCAGTGACTCAGTGAGCGACTCAGTGACTCGATCAGCGACTCAGTGATTCAGTCAGTGACTCAGTCATTGAT